GGAGACGCTGCCCGGGCGCGTGTGTGCCCAGCGGGGTGAGGCCGGGAGGAAGGCACTGAGTAAACACCTCGCCCCAGGAAAAGCTCCTCTCTTGGCACGGCCGGGTGAATCCGCGGCTGGAACGGGCACCGGGAATGATGCGGGGCACTGGGAATGATGTGGGCACAGGGAATGCTGTGGGGCACTGGGAATGCTGCAGGGCACCGAGAGTGCTGCAGGGCACTGGGAATGATGCAGGCACAGGGAATGCTGCGGGCACTGGGCATGATGTGGGGCACAGGGAATGATGTGGGCACAGGGAATGCTGTGGGGCACTGGGAATGATGCGGGCACTGGGCATGATGTGGGGCACAGGGAATGATGTGGGCACAGGGAATGCTGCTGGCATCGCCGCACCCGGTGCTTCCCTCTCACCCTGCTCCTCCCTGTGCCAGCGCCGATGCCAAGCTCTTGGCATGTTCCCATCACCGTCCCCTCTGCCTCTGGCACCGAGCTGAGCTCCTCCATCCCAAAATCTCCTTCCTCGCCGGGGCTGCAGCTGCAGCCATGGGAAGGAGATGGGTTTTGGTTTTGCCTGGGAATGCTGATCTGCCCTGGCAGCTCCGACGTGTCTGTGCAGGAGCTGAGCCGCCCGTCCGAGGGGGCTCCGGCGGTGCCAACCCCGGGCATGGGTGGGGAATGGTGCCCTGAATCCACAGGGAAGGGGAATCAGGGGTGCTCACCCCAACACAGGGCAGGGGGGGCATCCTGGGGGTTGGTTTGGCACCAAGGAATTCCCCCTGGGATTGTTGTGCCCCGCGGGGGAGGCAGCTGCCAAATTGGAGAGGAGGAGGAGGAGGAGGAGGAATGGAGGTTATTTTAAGGAGAGAAGGAGGAGGAAGAGGAGGAGGAGGAGGAAGGGGAGTTGTTTTATGGAGGAGAGGAGGAAGAGGAGGAAGAAAGGGAGATTTTATGGAGAGAGGAGGAAGAAAGGGAGATTTTATGGAGAAAAGGCAGAGGAAGAGGAGAAGGAAGGGGGGTATTTTACAAGGAGAAGGAAGAGGGGTTTATTTTGGAGCATCTGTCTCGCCTTCCATTTCCTCCTTTTCTTTCTCCAGCTGCCATCAAGCTGCTCTCTCTGGCAGCAACTTCCTTTCTCCTTCGCTCGGAGCAGACGGAGACTCATGGGGAAGTAGCAAACAGAGGCTGGAAGAGGGGAAACTGAGGCCAAACCACCATCCGTCCGTCTGTCCGGCTGCGGAGGGGGCCAGGGCACATCACATGCTTCCTGCCCCGGGATCGGGAGGACAAAGTCGCTCGGGGAGGGAGGAAAACTCCACGGGACGATTCGGATCCAGTGCTGGGCCTGGGGTCAGTAAGGAACGGCCCAAACCCTTCCCTGCCCCAGGGAAGATCGGGCAGAGCCGGGAGTTTTGCCCCATTTACACCCAGCTCTGCCCCGGGGCCATCCGGCCGCTCCCAAGGGATTTTCTTTCCAGGAATGGAGGAATTTCATCCTCCGGAGCGCAGGGCCAGGCGATGCTCGA